TCGATCATTTCAGTTCCCCATTCCATTGTTGACACTGGACTTTCTTTCATCTCAGTGGGTGTCGTCGGGTGCTACTGTCTACCTACTGACCTCTTCCCTTCCACTTGCTGGCCTCCCCTGGGTGGAATATTCCAGTTCCTACCTCTAGTGTGGATTCCCCCTTCCCGTCCTCGCTTCTTCCGTTCTTCCTTTCCTTCTTTTTCCGCCCCCCCCCCCCCCCCCCCCCCCGCAAGGCTACCCTGCCCCTGTCGACCCTGGCTGGATTTCCATGATCGCTTCCCTGTGCCATGCTTTCAACTGGATGCCCGTTGATGCCCCCGTGGATGCTGCCCTGCTGGTGCCCTGGTGCTGGTGCTGATGCAACCCCCGAGTTCCCAACACTGAGAGACACCTGGTCAGAGGTAGGTACCTGGTACCACCCCTTGCTTGGCCTTTGCCAAAGACGCGCTAACCCCTATCTTGGAGACGTGGGTGTTGTTTTGCTACCCGACCCGGCTGACCCTCTTTCAGTCTCTACCTAGCTACTAACAAAGGGAAATTTTGGAGCTCCGGTCAAGTTTAGATCCCAGGGTGTTGGCGTGGTCTTAAACTCTGAAGCTACACCATAACCCCCATCTCCCCCGAGATCCGAGACTCGGAACTAAGAGAGAGACACGGGCAACGGCTTCAGCAAAGAGAACTAACTGCCCGCCTCGAGTACCTCTCTCGCCCATCTCTCGGCTGCTCCAGCTCTCTCATCGTATCAACAACAACCCAACAAAGTCAACAAGGGAACGCATGGTGTAGCCAAGAGGCCGCTCGCTTCCTTCCCTTTCACCGCCGCGCCACACTGGAATTGATCCTTCTCGAACTGTCACCGCCCGCCCTAAAAGCCCCGACTAGAGGCCGATCAGTTATGCCATGAGATTTCGCTTCGATCCCACCTAGCACCACCAGCCTGTTTCGCCCCGGTCCAACCCGTCGGACGACCCGTCGATTTTCCATCCTTCCAAAAGACATAGGAGTTTCCCCCGTCATCGACCCCGACTCCCTGTCCGAGTTCCGCAGCGGGAACCTCTGTCAACAATATCATTACTCGCCCCGTCCCGAACCGCTTCTCCAGCAAATACGAACGCGAACGAACGATAATATATAAAACGTCTCGATGGATCGCCCGCGCGGTCTGCCTGATAATCCGGGGTTGGTTCGGCGACTGCCACCTGTTGGTGCCGGTCATGCCCATGGGAACCATCCGCCGCACCCGCCCCATCGCGATGCATCGAATTCGTCCCTGTCGGCCTCGCCGCCGCTATCTTCCAACCAAGTCATCGCCATTGTGCGCGAGTCCATGCGAGTTGCCCACGAGAACGAAGCAAAGGCAACAGAGGGCATCAGCACCCTCAAACCAGGACTCACCATCGACTTGAGCAGAAAGAGGATACAGAAGCTACCAGATGAGGTGGTCGATATAATCAAGGATGAGTTGGAGAGGTACTACAACATTTCCCAGTTACCTGCTGGTCGGCCCATGAGCTAATATGTTCCTCTGCGACTCAACAGGCTTGCGTTGTCACACAACTACATCCAGACCTTCCCTGCCCGATTCTCCGAGTGTACCTCGCTTCGTTACCTCAATGTCAGGTCGAATAGGATAAAGGAGTTTCCGCTCGCGGTAAGGTTATTTTCATTATTTCACCACAGAAGGTCTGACGCTGACCGTGATTCTACACAGCTTTGCGACCTCAAGTCACTAGAGATTCTAGATCTAGGTCGAAATATGCTTCGTGTCCTTCCACCAGATATTGTGAAACTATCATCACTCAAGGTCTTCTCGATACAGAAAAATGAGGTCTCCGAGCTACCGCTTTGTCTAGCCGATATGCCATCTCTCTCCGTCATCAAACTCGAAGGCAATCCCCTGGTCTTCCCTCCACCACAAGTTTTCCAGGTGCCGCCGCCAAGTGTGCAAAACGAAGGTATCTTGAAAGAAAGTGAATTGACCGAAATCACGGTTACGGCACACGTCAAGAAGTACCTCAAAGCAACAGCCAACAGCATATTGGAAAGAGAACAGGCCGAATCGCCCAATGACGAAACCGACGGAATCGAGACACCACGACCGACCATCAAGCGCGTGTTTAGTGGACGATTTCCCATCAAGGTCAACGGCACAGATGTTCCAGATCTTAGGTCGCCGAACTTGATCCGTCCTCCGCCAATCCCGAGCCGATCGCATTATCGAGGTCTTTCCCAGCAGAGTTCGGCCCAACGAAGACCTGGTGTCATGCCACTCACCATCGGTAACCCCAACGAGCGAATACGCAGCAACTCGGAAACAACTGGCGCCCATCATTCGAGCCGCGAGCGATCCGAGAGCAGGTCCCGCCGTATGGGTATTGTCTCCAGAAAGGGCTCTGAATTGGGCACTCTTGACGAGTTAGAAGCCAAGGATCGATTCAGCATCCATTATCGTGGCCTCAGTCATGGGTCGGCCATGCAGCCTGGTAACGGCAGTGTGCCCGGTCAGAGCACAGCACCATCAAGCCCAGCTGACTCGATATCCTTGCAACGCCCCATCTATGTCCGACGACTCTCGATCCTACCCGAAAGGAGGCGTGAATCCAAGTTTATCGATCCGGTACTGGAGGCTGCTAAGGGTATCCTCTACTCCATTTTCCAGATTCACCCCATGATTCAGATGTTGATGGGCCTTGCAAATGACGGCAGCAGCAAACGTTCGAGTCTGGAGATTGTCTTTTACAATACCAATGCTCATGTGGAGCAATTGGAATTGGAAATTCAAAAACACGACCAAGCAGGAGACGGCGGGGGGCCGAGAGAGAACGAGAACGTGCAGAGGGCATGCATTACGCTGGTGCAAGCATACAGCCATGTGTGCTCCCTGCTGGCTAATAACGTTGATCTTTTTCTCGATAACGGTGACCCTAGGTACATTCGCACTCTGTTGACGCAGCTTTATAATAGCATTATGGAGCTGCGTGTTACATGCTCTCAGCCATCGCCCGGAATGCCTTCGCGCAATGTCCCGCCCGTCCCGCCCGTTCCCCATCGGCTAGAACTCGAGACCATTCGACCGCACTCGCGAGACAACTCGGTTACTCCCACGATCGACCGTCCACCTCAGACCGCGAGACTACGCAACCCCGGACCAATGCATCCTCACGCCAATCTCCGTGTTGCGACGGATGTACCACTGATGCCGTACAACAACGGCATGCACCGACAGGTTATGAGCGCTGTTACGCCTCGGTCTGGGGATCCTTTCCCCATGAGTGCGGGTGGTGTGCGGATACCCAGTGACGAAGAGGATCGAATCTTCGAGAGGATTTTCCTGGCTTTGATGAAGTCTGCCGATCTTGCCCTCAAGGTTTTGCCGAATCTTAGTGCGCAGTTCAGCGTAGCTTTGCGAAATGCCACGACGCAACGAGCGTCCGACCATGTAGTGCACTGTTGGAAAGCACTCATTGTGAAGTGTAACGACTCGATCCGTCACACCGAGATATTGAGGGAGAGGCTATCGACTATCAAGCTGAAAGAACCGGGGATCCGTGGACAGCCGGGGTTCTGGAGGATGTGCAACGACTACATCGACGCCTGGTATGTCTTGGGTAAGAAAACTATGCAGTTTCAAACCGATATCCAGTTGCCAGTCGATGCCAAATCCAGGATGCGGCCCATTCAGAAGGCGATGAAGGATGCATGGGAGCTCATGGTACACTCGCCGTGGTCTCACTTCTTGAAGCCGCAGCCTAGTAGCGGCGGGCATGGAAGGGGCAGAATGAGAGGGAGAATGCCAGGTCCAGGAATGGAAGGAGTTGAAGATACATCAAGCCCTTACAGCACGCATGGCACCAATACACCGGTACTGATGCCTATGACGCCGCAGAGCGCGGCCCTTGGTCCAGCCGTTCAGGCCACGGTACCATCGACGCCCAAGAATAGTTCGTTTTCGGCCGCGTTCAACGGGGGACTGTTCGAGAGGGCTGAGACGCTCATTCAAATGGGAGGCCCGGGTATGGGCAGCCGAAGTGGAACCATGCAATCGTCGTCAGCAGCAAGTCTGAACTCGATTGGCACAACGCTCTCCGGGGACAGTGCTATGACTCCGAACTCGGCACTAAGTCCGGGTCCGGGTTCACTAACGCCGCTTCCCTTTCGAATGAACAGTGGGAAAGTGGGCCTCTAAGCGAGGGCCCGTGTATTCATCAGAAAAAAGCACGTACACATTGCACCAGGATTTTCATACAGTTATCAAAAGAGCTCCCCCAGGCTGCGGGTTCAGCGGTTGGTTGGATGCGATATTTCTCTCACACATGAGGCTACAATGTTGTCTTGATACAGAAATAGGTGGTCAGAGTCTAAGTCTTTGAAAAGACAAGCCGTTCCTTTTTTCTTGGTCTCATTTCCTATACTATGTCTATCTACACACAGCATCTAGGCGTTCTTATTTCCTAAACAAGACTGGAGGAAGGGAGCATTGATGGGCAGGCCGGTTGAGACGGACGGGACTAGAAGCGAGCAAATACAGGTTGCATGACAAAGGGAGGCAGGCGCAGCGGCGAGTAAAGGTGAACACAAGACTGGCATTTGCAAGAGGGAGGAAAAGTTTTTAAGTATAGCACAAACCTATAATGTGTACAATCAATTTCAAGTCCACTCCAACTCCTCCTCGGAGTCTTCATCACTTGTGCAGAGAGAATCATAAACAGGGTTAAGGTGAGTTGCCTGGTTGTAGTCTGCCGGCCTGGTCTCAAAAAAGGGGTGTCAACAAACAAACCTCTCAATGCATTACACACAGTCCCAACTGCAAAGCCAAAAGAACCAACGAATGACGTGCATTAATCTCGAACAACCAATTCAAACCAGGCCATCCCCGGCAACGGTACGCTTAAGTCCCCGGAAGCTACCCCGCGTTACATTTGTGCTTTGCCTCTTTTTGTGTCTTGCTCAGTTTCTCGCCAGTCGTATAAATGGCCGTCTCCACCTTTTCGCATTTAACATTGAAAACTACCGTACAACATACTTACATATACATATCACGCTGGACGGCGGCAGGTGTCAAACTTGCGCCTACTTGGTTCTGCTTCTGCTTAGCGTCTGCTCGATTCAGTGGCTGGTTTTATCGATGCTGAAAGAGAGCTGGCTTCATTTTATCTTTTTCCAAACCCGATCTGAATTCGCTTTCCCGGCCCACCTACATGGGATTGCTATCACTTATACGCACTTCCCATCACAATCACTGATGAGTGACAACCAACGGAAAACAATCACAAGATGTCTCGACCATCTCGTCCCAACTTCCTCCAATCAGCCCGGTCTGCTCCGGCCCCGGCATCAGTAACCAACACCAATGTCACCGCGGCCATGGTATCCGCCCCCGGCGACATTGACATTGACATTGACAGTTCCGATTACCACCATGACACGGAACACAGACCGGGTCCAGGTCCGGGATCAGTAACAGCAGCACCATCAACAACCGGTTCAACAACCACAACAACCGGACGCGCCTCTTCAGCCTTCTCCCTCCCCTTCTTCGCCGGCTCCTCTTCATCAAAGCGATCAACTGCTCCAAGTGTCTCTTCGGTCTCAACAGCGCCGCAACCGCTTATTCCGGTTCCGAATGTTCAAGCCCACGCTTACACCGGGCAATCAGTACCGGTGGCCTCCTCAACTTCAGGGACATCTTTGCGAACGACAACCACGGGATCATCTACTTCGACGAGTACCACCATCACTACCACCACCACCACCACCACTACCGCCGCCAGGAAACCAGCACCTACTTTCCCTCCCCCCTATCCTCCTCAACCCCATCCCCATCCCCATCCCTCCTCCCGAACTTCCACTTCTTCCCAAACCCACGGCAACCTTCCCTCCCCCGCAACCCCTCGCACCCCTACTGTTCCTATCACGCCTACTGTTTCTAGCACCACCACCACCACCACCACCACCCTCCCAACAGCCCAAGCGAGAACAGCCGTCCTCGCATCCATCTCCAACCTCCTAGATAGAGAACTCACGGGGCGCGCCTCCTTGCTCCACCAGAACCACAACGCCATCTTGAAACAAGAGCGCGAGATGAGCAAAGCCGTGGAGAGTTTTAGGAAAGAAAATGATAAGTTGGAGAGAGTGGCGCGGGAAGGGACGAAAAGGCTCAAAGAGGTGGGGGACGTGCAGAATTGGGCGGAGGTTTTGGAGAGAGGGTTCTTGAGGATTGAGGAGACGATTAAGAGGGCGAATGGAGAATATGAAAGTGGGAGTGGGAGTGAGTGGTCTGGGAGTTATGGGTCTGGGGGTTATGAAGGGTCTGAGAGGGGGGACGGGAATGGGGAGGGGGATGGGGATAGTAAGGATAGGGAAAATGGAACAGAAGAAGGGGGTGGTAAAGATGAGAGGGTTGGGGATGGTGGTGAGAGGAAATTAGAGAATGATGGTGGAGGTGAGGAGGAGAATGGGATAGTGCGGGGTGGAAGTGAGAATAATGGTGGGGCAAGGGCCGCTGAGGCAGAGGATGTCAACGGTGATAAGAGAGAAGGAGAGGACATAGAAAGAGACGATGAGGGGGATGTGGTCATGGTTACTGAAGATGATGTCTATGAGAGACAAACGAAACTTGACAAGGGGAAAGGGAAGGCGGTCGATGACACGATATCATACCCCTCGATGGGGCCTCTACCCCGATCACCGGAACCCAATGGCTCCGGAGACACACGGTTTCTGAGTTTGACACCTGCGACTGTATGAGTTCCCTTTTGTTTGGAGGGTGTTTAACGATGTTACGAGGTCATGACCTGAGAGATGCCCAAAGAAAACCTGAATGATGATGATACTTAAGTATAGGGACTCGTTCATCTTGTTACATATTTCCATCACCAATTTTTAACCTAACACCCTATAACACACGAGTTTGGATAGCAGTGACATCTCATGGAATGATCACTGTCACCGTTCTCGATTGTCGTACACCGAGTGTACAAGAATGTTCACATCAAACCACCCGCTCTAAGCTGGAAAAACCATGCGCGACATACCCCACGCCTACACCCAAACCAAACCCTCCTTACAAGGCTAGCTTAGATAAGACCGGGAAGCATGGTGTAGCGCTTGGCCTTGTAGCGGTCACCGAACTCATTGCGAAGAGCCCTCTCTTTGCCGCGGGACCAGCTGCGCATGTAGATAGTACCGGTAGCAATGAAGATAACAACAGCAGGGCTGCGGCTGATCAAGATGACACCAACCCAAGCGAGAACCTCAAACATGTAGTTGGGGCTGGTAACCAGGTTGCTACCAATGCAGTTGGGGATACCACGCTCAGTGCCGCCGGGCTTGCGGAGGCTGGCCAAGTGCTGGTGGACAATCCAGTTGCAGACCTCGCAGACGGCGAAGAGGGCGATGCCGAAGTAGTCAAGAAGACCAAGATCGTTGCGGTCAGCCGAAGAACCGGGGCGGTAGATGTCGAGGGAGCACATGAGGCCGGCAAGGAGCCAGTAGAAGGCAGAGTTGCGGAAGATGTTGAAGGCGGGCATGGTGTTGGCCGAGAACTTGTGGACAAAGAGGGTCTCGTACTCGCGCTTGAGGAAGTGGAGGTTGAAGAGGGCAAAGAGGAGCCATTGGACCTTGGACATGGGCGTCTCGGCCTCGTTCTTGTAGGCCCACGGGCCGAAGCTGTAGATGTATGGGCGGAGCAGGGGGACGAGGACGTGGAAGAGAATGGGGCCGAAGTATTCGATCACGAAGACGGTGCGCCAGGCGATCTGGGGGCCTGTGGTTGTCGTGGGTTGTGTGAGTTTGGGAGGGGGGCCTTCACATGCTTTGGAGAAATCATGACGTACCAAGGTCCTTGACGACGAGCTCGCCGGCCTTGACAACACCGGCCTCATCACGGACAAGAGCCTTGCGGTTCTTGAGGATCTTCTTGGTCTCGGGGTCGAAGAGGCCGATGCGGTTGAAGTCGTTGATGCCGGACTGACGGGCAACGGCCTGCTTCGCGTCCTCGACCGTGGCATCGGCGGGGAGCTCAAGGGAAGCCGGCAGCTTCTGGATGGGCTGCCTCGGCGACTTGTTGGAGAGCTTGAGAGAGAGCTTGGCGGCCATGTTGACTTGTTTGCCTGTCGACCAAGATCAAATGATACGGAAGGGGATCCGAGGAAGGAAACGAAGATCGATCAGACGAAAGTGAATGAATGAATGGTGGAATTGAAGATTCAAGTTGAGCCCTTGGGTTGCGCGGTCGGGTGTCCGCGGGAGTTACAGCGCTCCAGTAGGTGGCCGCTCCCGTGGCGGGGGGGCACGGACGTCGGGGGGCACCCCACACTTCCCGAGAATTCAGTTTTGGCGGACGGCCCCACCTTTGACCTCCAATAGTACCTCGGATTGGCTGAGCCCAGTAATTCAGTTGAGGTGACGGTCTTATATGCATCTAAGCAAATTGGAGAAGCTTTCGTAGATGCATAGGCCAAGCTGATCGATTCCCATCGATCGATGCCCACTGTATCGAGCGATCCATTGGCTTGACCGCCTGTGGAGACCCGCAGATAATTCTGCCACTGTCAACGTCCTGGTTCCTTGCCTTCAACTTTTTTTTCCTTCGTTAACGATAACAGTTTATCGGCCTTCCCCCCGTCTGTCGTCTCTCTCGTAGGGTCGTTGTTGTTGGGTTTCTAATCCATCCAACCCCCCCCTTCATCCAACACATATCCCCGGCCGTCTACGTACGCCACTTTTCCTTCAGTTCAGCCAACAGTCCCAAGGCTCAGGAAGCCTAGGTGCTTAGAGCTGCATTCCTTCCATCTCTCACCCTTTCGCACTACTATTCGTCGGCCTATACGAACATCATCTGATTGGTGACATCTGCAACACCCGTCAAGATGGATGACCTCTTTGAGGTTTTCGAGGAGCAGCCTCGCGCTCAGAAGAAGCGCAAGGCCTCTCCCGATGTCGAAATGGCCGATGGAGCTGCCGCTGCCGCTCCCGTCGCGAATGCCGCCGCCGTCACTCACCCGCAAGCTCAAGCCGCCCCCGCGCCGCAAAAAGACAACATCGACAACAACGACAACAACAACAACAACACCACCACCAGCGCCGTCCAGCCCACGATTCCCAATGGCGATGCCGCTGCCGCTGCCGACGATGTTCAGCTGCCACAGAGCCCCCATGGCCAGGGCGACAATAAGCGTAGGAAGAAGACGGACGAGGCAGAGCCCATCATGACCGATGCCTTCCAAACGGCAGAGTCCCGGGAGGTCACCGGCGCGCAGGGTTTCGCGCCCACCGAGGGCGAGTCCATCGTTCTCTCCCACAACATTCAGCATCAGGTCGCCCTGCCCCCCGATTTGGACTACGAGTATATCCCCTTGTCCGAACACAAGCCCCCCGCCGAGCCCGCGCGAACATACTCCTTCAAGCTCGATCCCTTCCAGGCCCTGTCCGTCGCTTCCATTGAGCGCGAAGAGAGTGTTCTGGTGTCCGCGCATACCTCTGCTGGTAAGACGGTTGTTGCCGAATATGCTATTGCTCAGTGCCTCAAGAAGAACCAGAGGGTCATCTACACGAGTCCCATCAAGGCTCTTTCCAACCAAAAGTACCGAGATTTCCAGGCCGAGTTTGGCGACGTCGGTCTCATGACTGGTGACGTTACCATTAATCCCACAGCCAGCTGTCTCGTCATGACCACCGAGATTTTGCGCTCCATGTTGTACCGTGGTTCCGAAATCATGCGCGAAGTCGCCTGGGTCGTCTTTGATGAAATTCATTATATGCGCGACAAGATCAGAGGTGTCGTCTGGGAAGAGACCATCATCTTGCTCCCCGACAAGGTCAGATACGTCTTCCTCTCCGCCACCATTCCCAATGCTTTCCAGTTCGCCGAATGGATCGCCAAGATCCATCGTCAAGCCTGCCACGTCGTCTACACTGATTTCCGTCCCACGCCCTTACAAAACTACTTCTTTCCCGCCGGTGGCAAGGGTATCCTCCTCATTGTCGACGAAAAGGGCAATTTCAAGGAGAACAACTTCAACCAAGCAATGGCCATGATCGAAGAGAAGAAGGGCACCGATTCCAACGACTGGAGTGCCAAGCAAAAGGGCAAGGGCAAGAACAAGAAGACGAACAAGGGCGGAGAGGCTGCTGATGAGAAGGCGGATATCGCAAAGATCATCAAAATGATTCTCAAAAAGAACTTCCAGCCTGTCATCGTCTTCAACTTCAGCAAGAGGGAGTGCGAGCAGATGGCCTTGGCCAGTTCTTCTATGAAGTTCAACGCCCCAGATGAGGAAAACATGGTCAACAAGGTTTTTGAAAACGCTCTTGCTTCGCTGTCCGAGGACGACAAGAATCTCCCCCAGATCTCCAACATCCTCCCCCTTTTGCGCAAGGGTATCGGTGTGCATCACTCGGGCTTGTTGCCCATCCTCAAGGAGACCATCGAGATTCTGTTCCAGGAGGGTCTTATCAAGGTCCTTTTCGCCACAGAAACTTTCTCTATCGGTCTGAACATGCCTGCTAGAACAGTTGTCTTTACCCAGGTCACCAAGTGGGACGGTCAGCAACGCCGCCCTCTTACTTCCTCCGAGTACATCCAGATGGCTGGCAGAGCTGGTCGTCGTGGTCTCGATGACCGCGGTATCGTTATCATGATGGTTGATGACAAGCTTGAGCCCGAGACGGCCAGAGCTATCGTTGTCGGAAATCAGGATAAGCTCAACTCTGCCTTCCATCTCGGCTACAACATGGTCCTCAACCTGCTCCGTATTGAGGCCATTTCCCCCGAGTACATGCTGGAGAGGTGTTTCTTTCAATTCCAGAACGCTGCAAGCGTACCGCAGCTCGAGCGTGAGCTCATCAGCCTTCAACAAGAGAGGGACGCCATCATTATTCCTGACGAGAGCATCGTCAAGGATTATTACGGTGTGCGTCAACAACTGGAAGAGTACAACAAGGATATGGTCTTTGTCATTCAGCACCCCCAAAACTGTCTTGGCTTTTTCCAGGAGGGCCGTCTCATCCACATCAAGAGCCCAAGTGGAGTAGACTATGGTTGGGGTGTTTTGATCAAACACATCCAGCGACAAACCCCGAAGAATGGCCAACCACCTTATCCAGAGCAAGAGTCATACGTTTTGGACGTTTTGTTGAAGGTATCTGGCGATTTCAACCCTAAGACCCGTGGGGAGGGGCCGATGCCTGAGGGCATTATGCCTGCAGGAAAGGATAGCAAGAATGCTAGGTGGGAGGTTGTCCCCTGCCTTTTGAACTGTCTCAGGGCCCTTGGCCAGCTGCGTGTTTTCTTGCCCAAGAGGCTAGAGAGCGCCGACGAGAAGGACGGCGTGGGCAAAGCCGTTGACGAGATCAGCCGTCGCTTCCCTGATGGCATCCCTATCCTGGATCCTATGGAGAACATGGGCATCAACGACGATAGCTTCAAGAAGCTGCTCCGCAAGATTGAGGTCCTTGAGTCGCGTTTGGTGGCCAACCCTCTCCACAACTCTCCTCTCCTTGTTGAACTGTGGAACCAGTACAGCCTCAAGATGCAACTTGGCGAGCAGATCAAGGAAAAGAAGAAGGCCATTGCCCGGGCCCACAGCGTTGCGCAGCTTGACGAGCTCAAGTCTCGCAAGCGTGTCCTTCGCAGACTGGGCTTTATCAACGATGCTGAGGTTGTCCAGATGAAGGCCCGTGTCGCGTGCGAGATCTCCTCGACGGAGGGTCATGAGCTTCTTCTTGCCGAGCTGCTCTTCAACCGCTTCTTCAACGAGCTGAGCCCTGAGATCTGCGCCTGCATTCTCAGCTGCTTCATCTTCGACGAGAAGATCGAGACACAGGCGCTCAAGGAGGAGCTGGCTAAGCCCTTCCGTGAGATTCAGGCCCAGGCCAGGATCATCGCCAAGGTCAGCGCGGAAAGTAAGCTGGATGTCAATGAGGACGAGTACGTTCAGAGTCTCAAGTGGCAGCTTATGGAGACTGTCCTGGCTTGGGCTCAGGGAAGGCCGTTCTCCGAGATTTGGTATGTCTGCCTGTCAACCCCCAATTTCCCCCTGAATCATGTTTGCTAACCAATTTGTAACAGCAAAATGACCAACGTCTACGAAGGCTCGCTCATCCGTCTCTTCCGTCGTCTCGAGGAGCTTCTCCGCCAAATGGCCGAGGCCGCCCGCGTCATGGGCAGCGAAGAGCTCAAGGACAAGTTCGAGCTCAGTTTGTCCAAGATCAGACGTGATATTGTTTCTTTCAACAGTCTGTATCTGTAAGAAGGGATGACGGAGGGATGCGACGAGTTGAGTTGGAGATAGGATATGCTTCGGTCATGGCATGGCCGTGTAGATACCCCCTTACGCTGTTTCAAAAGTGAGAGAAAAGCGAGGTATAGCGTGTGTGGCGCAATCAGGGAGAAGGGCGGCCTGGATTCTGTTCACCAATCTTTCTTGACGAAAGAGGCGTTGGTGAGGGAATCGTGGACTTAATCACGTCATTTCTTTTCCGGCTGGAGAGGGAGCCAGCGACTGACTCACTGCCATTCTTGTGGTCATTTATTCGCTTTGCCACATTGTTTGCGGAGTTTGCGGGTGCTACTTGCTGGGTTCTGGTTTGGTTTTGCAAGTATGGTTTGGTGTCATGGGATATTAAAAAAAACCAAAAAGGGTTGTTAGAGTATTCAAATCGAACATCTTTCTATCTAGCCTGTCCTAGTTGTCCACTCCATCATCTGCTGCCCTGGTTGGTTCCCTTATTAAGGCCCAGCCACGGTCCGGCTACCTGGGAACATTGTGCAAGACATGCGGATATTATTCAAGAACATGTATGTCTGACCTTGCCATCTTCTGAAACCGTTCACTCGGTCCTCGGTAAGCCACGATAAACAGGCAATTGATCATCTAATTGAGCCCTCCCTCTTAGTGATCGGGCTATCTCACACAGTAAACTATCTACTCTGTTTCACATCTTTTGGCCGGAGTGAGCAAACTCGCGTCTTTTCGTCGTTCGTGGTTATTGTTATTTCTATCATCACCACCGCGAGACGTAGTGAGTAAACGCACGCACCCACACACAGGCGCACAAAAACATACAAGACATGTAGTAAAGAGGAACAAACAATAATGGAAAGTAAGGGCAAAAAGAAGAAAAGAAAAAAAAAAAGGAAAAAGGAAAAAGGAAAAAAAGACATAAAAGACATACAACACCAGGGATTCGCTGGTCGTCACCGACCCAACTACTAGTCTGGCCCTCACTGGCTTATCTATGGGAGAGCGGACGGGATCCCGAGTTTTCCAGTGGGTATGGTCGTATGTGTTTTGACTAAGTCATTTGAGTGCTTATAAAGAGGCTGAAGTAGGCTTTCTCGATATTGATGATGGTTGATGATGACCTGGGGTGTGTGTTGTACCATGGTTGAAGTTTGCGTTTGGGTTTGGTCTGAAGCAAGCTCATCTGATGTATAGAATACGGATTGGCGCTGGTTCTGTTTTTGTAAATGTTATTGTAGATTGTGCTGTTTAGCAATTGTGCATGCTGCTATGTTTTGGGATTTGAGGGTGAGTATCTTTAATTTTGTGCTGTTTATTCGCTTTTCAATTGTTCCATGTTGGCTGGACAAGCAGAGTGATAGGCAAGCAAACATTGGCTGGTATCCACAATGTAAGTCGCTGTGTTCAGATGGATTGAACTGTTCCAATACTGACTGCTCTTTCACAAGTACCCATGTGGGCAGCAAACAGTAGCAATTACCTTCTAGCGGTTTTAAACGTATCATGACAGAGAGGCAGACATTGAGAAAAAAACAAGAAACAAAATAAGCAGGAAGTTTCGTATCATGACATTACGCTGCGCTGTGCAGTGGTTGATGTATGTGATACTATGCTAAACTGCCCTGCGTCTCTCTGCCTGCTCTCAGCTGAGTGCAAGATGTGAGAGAGATGAGGTACAGATGGATGATGGATTACCAAATAGTTTGTAGTTTGGTCAGTCAGGTAGTGGAGGGAAAATAAAACTTGATATCTTTCAAAAAGGGAGTAACGCCACAGTGAAAAGTCATAGAACAACATATGTAAATGTGAGAGAGTGTGTGGGTGACCATGAGTTGTGTGACTGTGACGACATGAAACGAAAAAAGAGACCAGTATGTCCTTCCTTTCCCTCTCCCCCTTCCTTTCTTTTCCTCTTGTTCCTCTTCTTCCTCCACTGTCGCCTCCTCCTCTCCCTTCCACCTTCCTCTCCACGTTCTCCCCTCTCCCCTTCCTCTCACAGTGGTATTCAAGATTTGTTGCTATTTGCATTGCATAAAAGCAAGCGAGATGGTAAATGGTGGTAGTTGATGATGGTATAGACAACGAGGTTGGTTGGATACATAAAAAAATAGGGAGTTAAATAAAAAAAAGGTAAAATCGACATGAAGTATGGGGGATATCTCTGGATCAACTACAAAACAACACGCCCTTATCCTAAATCGTCGTCATGATATGTCCCTTTGTGTTTCCAAATTTTCCAACAAGAATTTCGGATCAGCAACTAGATGGACTGCCAGTTCCTTGCACTAGATAGATAGATAAATCGGCCCTTGCACTCTTTCTCCTCAACGAACTTAACGAGAGCTACCCAGGGCGCTAATCCTCGCACCCGAAGGACGGTGAATCAGGGACTCTGCGTGCTTGCCGACGAAATTACTTGGCTCATGCGGGATGGGGTTCTCACTCTCGCTCCGTTCACCGGCGAGCTCATCCTCGTCGTCTTCGAGGATTCTGGTGGGGATGTCGTGGTGCCCCAGGCTATACTGTTGGGAGGTGCGCTCAGGGGTCGTCGCCGTGCTAGCGATTGACATGCTAGTGCTGCTGCGGTTGGGAATGAGATCCGGTGTCGGCGGGATGCTGGAGACCCGTCCACTGGCACCGGGGTGGAGAAAAGAGTCGTCGCCGGCCTCGGTGGTCGCGACCGAGGTGCCGTCATCGCTGTGGGCGATTGAGAGATTACTCCCTCTCCTGCTTTTTGAATACATCCCGGCCCCTTTCGCCGAGAGTGGTTCGTGGTGTGTGCCAATTTCGGCGTCTTGCGCCAGCTGGAGTCCGTCTACCGCCGCTTGGCACTGCTCGGCGATGTTACGGATGATGTGCGCGATGGCATCCGTCTTATCCTTGAGATGACGGTCCGCCACGTCAACGAAGGTCTGGGACGAGATGCGCTTGCTCGCCAAGGTGAGGTTCTTGATGAACCTCTCACTGTTGGGCTCCTCGCCGGCTGTATACAGGTTAGCATTTACTTCACAGTAATCTGAATAGACAGACGAACGCTTACCAGTAGCCTCCTCTGCCTCCTGCGCAGCTGCGACAAAGCCGGCTTCAATCTCAGCAGCCAACTCCTGTGGAGAGGTCATAGTCTTGACAATGTGCTCCATGTGATGGTGTTGGCCAGAAATCAGACTACGAAGGTGAAGCACCACACGACGGGCCTCATCGCGTTGCCGGGTAATGGTGTTGTTGGTGTGTTGCAGGGCAGTAAGCTCCTTCCTATTTCTCTTACGCTCCCTCTCCAACTCCTCGGCGATCTCCTGCTGAAGCACAAGGGCCTCAAGAGCGTCGTCACGTTGCTTCTCCGTACCCTGGAGGCGCATCTGTAGGCGGTTGTAGTCGCTCCTATGCTCCTCGATAAGGCTGCCCAGACGACGGTTCTCGCGTTTCGAGTTTTCGATCTTGGCCTTGAGGTCCTGGGTCTCCTTGGTGAGAGTCTCAGCAAAGGTCTGGAACTTGAGGAACTGTTGCTTCCAACTCTCCAACTCATCATTAAGGTAGTTGTTCCTCTTCGTGACCTTGCTAAGCTCCGTCTCCATACGCCCCTTGAGGTTGATGAAATCCTGCCAAGCCTCCATCGCATCGCGCGAGTACTGGTTCCGCTCACGAACAATTTCATTCAGGTGCCTCATAGACACCTTTGTCATGAGAGGTTTCTTGGCGGAACCACCAAAGACAGCCTTGATGCCGGTGTTGCGGCCCATCTTCTCGCACACATGATCCATGACAGACATGACGGCATCCTGGTTCCACCAGTCAGGGTCCTGGATCGACTCCACCTCTCCACGCATGACAATGATCTGACCAGCGGGGATCAGCTTTCCACCGCCATAAGCGGAGCGAAGGTGGGGAGGAACGCCAGAAGGCGTGACGTCCCCGTTGAGAGCTTGAGTTAGACGGGTCACAAACTTATTGCGCTGACTAGGAGAAAGGGCGTTGGGCGGGCTTGAAGTGAGAACAAAGTTGCGGTCGAGATCCACAACCAGAGCATCCGCGGGAGGCGTGAAAAGCGACCTACACTCGGCCGTGATACCCAGAATATACGGACCAGGCTCTTCAACAAGCTGAGTAGCATGACGAGCATGGACAATGGGGACATAAAGACCACTCCACTCATAAACGCGCACAGCAAAGCGAACAGTCTCAGCAGCCATCGTCAACATGGCCGGGTAGTGACTGACAAAGATGATGCGGCGAGTCGGCGAGATAGCTGCCTCGATGACACCAACGATGTTGGGAATAGACAAGCAGTTGAACAGCGGCCACATGGCAAAGTTCTGGAAACCAGTGGGCGACGAGGGAAACTGGTAGCACAGCGCGTAATCCTTCATGTCGATGCGGACCAGGTCGTTCAAGCGAGGAGCAGGGAAGCTGAGAATCCGAGACACCTCCTCCGCGTGGAAAAGGTTAGTAGCCTTGTTCCAGTGAATCCACATGCCACGAAGGTAGTCGCCAAGCAGGTTGTAAAGCGGATAGCGAGAAAGGAAAGACAAGCAGTAAGGAATCCAGTACTGCTCATCCGGGTTGTCGAAAAAATCAGGTTCGGTCCTCCGTCTCAGCTCCCGAATCGTCTCGGCTCTCTTCTCGTCGGCGCGGGACCAGACACGCAAGCAGATTCCGTACAAGGTGTGGGAGGAATCCTGCTGAAGAACGAAGGCATGGTGAACGCAGTGTGGTTGACTTCTGCCAGTGCAAATTTCGACGTCGTGGGGAAAGCAAGCCTGTAAACATTGGTTAGCAAACAGGCAAATAAGCTGAAAAGGTGCTGATCAAACATGATAAACCTACCCTCATGGCGTTGTGAAGAGCGCGAGCAATGTCATTATCTTGTTCCAACCTCGGACTGCTGCCCAGGATCTCGGGAAGCCAGAATTGGCCAACAGCGCCCTTCATGTGACCGATCTTGCCCTGAGCCGGAGCAGGAGCCTTGACCCATTGTGAAGGCTCACGGCCGACACCGCACACCATGTAGGCATGAGTCAAGGTCTTGGGGGTGCGCTGCTGAGGCTTGCCATTGAGTGAGTTGGGCATTGGTTGAGTGATGCGGGAGTGAAGGGACGAGCTGCGGCTGGGGATGGCGGGATTGACGTCGGCCTGGTCGCGGGCGACGGAACCGACATCGCGCTCGCTGGTCCGCGGCCGTTGGAAGGAGGCGTGGGTTTTTAAAGACTGCATCATGGTGCCGGCTGATGTCCCAAAGAGACGGCTGAGAGAAGGTTGACGGCGTGTGTTTCGAAATGTGGAAACAGCGAACGGTTCGAAGAGATGAAGTTATGTTGATCGGATCGATAACGTGGGCAGCCACTACCGGCGGGGACTGCCTTGTTTCCTCCTGCCGATCGCTGGACTTGCCAAGTTGGGTGATGAAAAGGAGAGTAGATGGTGGGTTTTGCGAGGTAGTCCCGTGTTCGATAGCGTTTGTGAGCGAAGAGAAAGTGAAGCGGCCACACCGATTGCCGTACTAAAGCGTAGCGAGAGTGAGCGTGTTGGTAGTAGAGATTGACGATGGCGACGGCGGCGGCGGCGGCGATGGTGATGGGCAAGACAACACCGAGTTGGACCAGTGAGTGGCTGACAGTGACGGGAGCTCCCTGGAGGTTGGCGAGACACACACACACTCACACACGAGGGCGCGGACCGGGGATGGGAACCTGAAGGGCAACCTATGACTTTCTCCGTGAGACTGGGAGGTTGGCCGTGTGGTGTAAGCTCCTCTAGTGTTTAGGCAGACATTCGCACACTGAGGGAGAGGTCTGGATGAGAAAGGACACCCGCTGCACAACACAGTCGCGCAGATGATTAAGGCTACCAGGGGACTCCTTTCAACGAAGAAGGGCGGACCTGAAGCTGGGAGCGGAGGAGAGAGAAGGAAGTGGAGGAATCAGGTGTAGGTTTCCACGCACGCGAAAGGACGGGGACGGCAGAGACAAAAGGAAGCCGACAGAGTCGCAATCGCAGGGTCAGGAGCCAGGCCGGGAGTGAGCTGAGAGTGCAAAGGACTAGTGTAAGCACTCTGGCAAGTGAGCAGGGGGGGGGGGGGGGGTGGAGGTGGAGGAGAGGAGTGGAAACGAAGAAAAAGGAAATGTGATGGATCCCTGAAGCGACTAGGATGGGATTGGACTCAGATTGGGCCTGGGTTGGGAACTGGGTTGGATCGGAAGGAGCGCTCTGTTGAGAGGTCTGGACGGAATGAGGTCAATATGGGGGGGCCCACAAGAGGACTTTCAGTTTGGAGCCAACTGGGGTTTCAAGTCTCTGTGTCCGTCTCTCTGTCTCTTGTCTTTTTGTGGTGTTGCCGACGCCGTTGACGACAACGACAACAACGACGACGACAACGGGTGTGTTACTGTGCTGTACCACATGGCTCTCATCTCCTTTTCTCTTGCTGTCCTGCTCCCCAGATTAGGTACCTCAAGTGTTTCTTTTTGACGGGATGGAAGCACCAAGAGATCGGACGAAGGCATCGACACCACAAGGGAAGTTATAAAAACGACAAGGAGATTTCAGTTTGACAGTCAGTCCAGTGTACACACTGGCCTGCAATGCCAATCACTGCGTGCAATGTCAAAACGCCAGGCCAACGGAGGCAAAGCGCCGTGGTGATGTCCTGCACAATGCACACACGCACTCTTGCTTGCTGCATCTCCAATGGCCTGCAGCATGCACTCCGGGCTGCAGCCAGGCGGATTTGATGGAAGGAGGAGGTCCATCTGGGAAGCAAGCGAGAAGAGACGTGGGAGAGCCGATGGGCTTGTCGAAGCAAAAGACGCAAAAAGACTGGGGCTCGGGAAATAAAGGTGGAGGACCAATGGCACCCCAGGCCCAATGACCTACCAAACCCCCCAAATGCCACCTCAATGGACAATCTGACGGAAGGAACTCATCCAGGCCCCTTCAGGGCAACGCTAGCGGCATGTTCGCTGCTGCACCACTGCTGCAGGATTGTTGTGCGTACACTTCTGCCAGGATTCAGAAAGTTAGCGCAGTGAATGACAAAGTGGCGGTTGCTTCGTTCTGTGTACAAAAGATAGACGGTATTTTGGCGGTCTGGCTCCTAAATACTGTAGATGGAAGTACCATGCTAACCTTTTATGTTCTGGCTGAGGCGTACCTGCCATGTCCCTGCATCTCTTAGGGGAGCCCGTTAGGGGTATCATCTGAGTCTCTCTGGGCTTGTCCGAGACAATTCCAGCTTCCCGCCGGGG